GGTTTTCTGGTGGTTTTTTGGAGATAAGAGTCTCATGGACTCTCCTGCCCGGGCTGGCTTTGAACCGGGATTCTCAGATGCTAGCCTTCTGAGTAGCTAGGATTACAGGCATGAACCACTGGCACCCAGCCATCAGTACTTTCATTTATTTATTTATTTGGGGGGGGGGGGTCTGGTAAGTCTTGTTTTCTGATATTTCTCAAAACTAAGCATGAAATCAGCAGCCAAGAATGTGTCTCCAAAATCACTGTTCCACTTGAGTGACCATGCACTTACCTACTATCCTGCGCACCAAGGACGGGCGATCTGCATCTGACTCTTTCTTCAGTGTTTCTACTGGTGAGCTTCGCCCTGAAGTCGGGTAGAGAGATGCATGCCACTTCTCAGGGTCCCAAACGCCATCACTACAGATTAAAAGGTACTGACAGTTAGCATTTCCTAACTAGATAGTCTAATTTCTATCTAGTAGTCTAACTTCTAAATTCATCAGGTAATAAATTATGGAAATCCTTTTCAATAGAAGGACTTTATGGTTGCCTTAAGAATTTTTCTTTTTTTTTTTTGTCGGTTGTGGGCCTTGAATCTGGGCCTAGGCGCTGTTCCACAGCTCTTAAGCTCAAAGCTAGCGCTCTACCACTTGAGCCACAGCTCCAATCCAGGTTTTCTGAATGGTTTACTGGAGATAAAGAGTCTCACAGGGGCTGGAAAGGTGGCTCAGTGGTAGAGCGCTTGCCTTGCATTAATGAGGTCCTGGGTTCGATTCCTCAGCACCACATAAGCAAAAAGAAAAAAGCCGCAAGTGGCGCTCTGGCTCAAGTGGTAGAGTGCTAACCTTGAGCTGAAGAGCTGAGGGACAGTGTCCAGGCCCAGACCAGACCCCCCCCCAAAAAAAAAAACAAACCAGAAAACCCAACAAAACAAAAACCCATAGAAACTATTAATTTTGTAATAATACTGATCATATAACATCAACAGTCGCTTGAAAAACAATGGTCTGGGCTTGGCACTGGTGGTTCATGCTTATAATCCTCGCTACACAGGATGCTCAGACCTGAGGATCATGGTTCAAAGCCAGCTGGGGCAGGAATGTTCATGAGAGTCTTGTCTCCAATTAAGCACCAAAAAAGCTAGGAGTGGAGTTGTGGCTCCAGTGGTAGAGCACTAGAGCCTTGAGCATGAAAGCTCAGGGATAGTGCCCAGGTCCTGAGTTCAAGCTCTAGGACTGGCATTGGCATACACACACATACACCAAAAACAAAACAAACAAAAAAAACCTCTAATAGTTTATATTAACCAATATTGAGCCCACAAACCTTATATTACACATTGTAGATTATAGTGACTACGCCTGTCCTCCACAAACATGTTCCATAAATATTGATTACTAAGGGACTGGAAGGTGGCTCAGTGGTAGAGCGCTTGTCTTGCATGCATGAGGCCCTGGGTTCGATTCCTCAGCACCACACTAAGCAGAAAAAGCCGGAAGTGACACTGTGGCTCAAGTGGTAGAGCGCTAGCCTTGAGCTGAAGAGCTGAGGGACAGCGCCCAGACCCAGAGTTCAGGCCCCACGACCAACAAAATAACATAACAAAACAAAACAAAAAAAACAATAAAACTTTAGCAGATATTTTTCCACTAATAAACTATATATAATATGTGTATTTGAAATAACATCTTAAAGAGTTAAAGTGGCTTTTCAATTAACAGCATCAAACAGATGGATATTCCATATACACAAAAATGAACTTTACACTTGGTTACACAAATCAACTCAAACATATTACACACTTAAATTTAAGACCTGAAATTATAAAATTTACATAAGATATAAACAGAAATCTTTGTGGCAATAGGTTAGGCAAAGTTTTTATGAGCATGATAATGAAAGTATGATTCATTTTAAAAATATGAATAAATGGCACTTGATCAAAACTTTAAAAAAAAGTCTGTTCCTCAAAAGACATTATTTTAAAAAATGCAAAGACAAGCCCCAGACTGGGAGAAAAGGTTTCAAAATATATTCTTTATAAAGTATTTGTATGCAGAGCATAAAAACTTAAAAATTCAGCAATAAAAAACAATCCAGTCCAGTGCCAGAGGCTTATGCCTATAATCCTAGCTACTCAGAGGCTGAAATCTGAAGCTAATGGTTTGAAGCCAGACCAGGCAAGCTAAGTCTGTGAAGCTCTTATCTCCAATTAACTACCAAAAAGCCTGTCTCAAGTGGTAGAGAGCTAGCCTTGAGCACAAAACCTCAGGGACAGTGCCCAGGCTGTACCTCCAGGACTGGTACGAAATAATTAAATAAAACACCATGTTGACAAATGTGCTGGCCATGCTAAAGTGTGCCTGTAATCACAGCACTCAAGAAGTCTGAAGCAGAAGAGGAGAGCTAAGGAAGGAGGATCCCAACTTCCAGGCTAACTTGATTGAGTCACGTATTGAGACCCTGTCTGAAAGAAGGGAAAAAAAAGAGGGTGTGGAGAGGCACAAATGATTTGAACAGAGACTGGAGCAAAGAGGTTATATGGATGGCAAATAGGAATACACTAAGAAATTCAATATCATTAGTCACTAGGGAAGTGCACATTAAAACATGTGATACCACTACACACCTATTAGAATGGCTAAAATAAAAAAAGACTGACCATTCCAAGTGCTGGCGAGGATGTGGAACAAGCAGAACTCTCATACAGTGCTGGGGGAAATGTAAAATGATATAACCACTTTGGAAAACAGTTCGGCAGTTTTTCAAAACATTAAATATACATCTAGCATACAACTCGGAAGTAAATAATAACTTAATAATGGTGTAAGAAGAACAAACATACCACATTACAGAAAAATCTTTCTAGAAAACTGAAGATTAGCCCAAGTGAACAAACAAATAGTCCATTTCAGTCTTCTCACTAGAAACAGCTCTCGTATATTTTGATATACACTTTTTCTGAATTTCTGGGTCTAAGTTTTTTCAACAAGGTATGGACAGCTTTATATTACTATGTTATGACTTGATATACCATTTGAAACACATTTGTACAATATATTTTTACAGACAATGTATTTGTGGGTGCGTGTACTGGTTCTGGGGCTTGAACTCAGGGTCTGGGTGCTTTCTATGAACTTTTCTGCTCAGGATTTGTGCTCTACCACTTGAGCCACAGCTCCACTTCTGGCTTTTTGTGTGTCTCATGGATTTTCTTGCCTGGGCTGACTTCAAACCTCTAAGATACTCAGATCTCAGCTTCTTGAGTAGCTAAGATTACAAGTGTGAGCCATTGGTGACTGGCTAACAATGTAATATTATTACATGTGAACTTATTGAAGTTTACTCAACCCATTTCCATTGTTATTTCCACTGATCTCCATTTCTATTGATACTCCTAACTTTTCAACACTTTAGCAAAATCTCATTAAAGATGATTCTGGTATAATAAATTCTTTGAGGGACATTAATGCACTAAGGGTACTGAGTGAGTCTGTCTAGAAGAATCTTCCATCTCATTTAAAGCTAGCCATTTCCTCTTTGCTCAGTTCCAAACTTTTCATTCTAAAAAGATTTGTCACAAATTCCTTTCATAAATGCCAAGGTCTCCATTTTACCCTTGAATCATTCCTAACTTAAAGTTATAGATAAATCAAACTTTATTCTAGTCTTACCATTTGTTTTTTGGCAGTCGTGGGGCTTGAAATCTGGGTCTGGGTGCTATCCTTGAGCTCTTCAGTTCAAGGCTAGCACTCTATCACTTGAGCCATATAGTGCCACTTCCGGTTTTCTGGCTGTTTATTGGAGATACAAGTCTCACAGACTTTCCTGCCCGGGTTGGCTTTGAACCACAATCCTCAGATCTCAGCCTCTGATTAGCTAGGATTACAGGCGTGAGCCATCAGCGCCTGGCTTAGTCTCACCATTTCTTTTCTCTCTCTTTTTTTTTTGCCAGTCCTGGGGCTTGAACTCAGGGCCTGAACACTGTCCCTGAGCTTCTTTTGCTCAAGGCTAGCACTCTACCACTTGAGTCACAGCGCCACTTCCAGCTTTATCTGTGTGTTTTACTGAGAAATCAAACCCAGGGCTTCATGAATGCTAGGCAAGCACTCTACCATTAAGCTACATCCCAAGCCAATCTCACCATTTCTAAACCCTGAATTCTAATGACAGTCCATTATGAATAATTGGTAGAACTGATTTATATCTGAAGACTGCCCCATGTAAGAAGAGGTATGAGAGACCTCCAGAACAGCTTTATAATCTAGCCATTATACATATCCATGAAAGACATCAGGGGGCTGGGAAGGTGGCTCAGTGGTAGAGCGCTTGCCTTGCATGCATGAGGCCCTGGGTTC